TCATGCAGACTGCGTGGGGCCTCACCTTGCGGAGGGGGCCTCACCTCGTGGAGGCCCCTCAACTGAGCCGTAAATGTGGTGCACCTATGCGCTTATGCAGCGCAATTAGTGTGGCGCGGCACGGCACGGCTTCGCCGCTGCGAGGCTCCGCTAGCATCCCCACGCTTGCGAAACAGAGGGCCTCATCATATAACTTTGAATGGGGCCTCAAGTTGGCCAGGGACGGCCCTGATCATAATATCTTCTGAAAACAAATGCCAGTGACACACACACACACACACACACACACACACACACACACACACACACACACACACACACACACACACACACACACACACACACACACACACACACACACACACTGTCTCTCAGGTGTTCCTTCATAATGCGCCTTCTCCTTGTTTTCCCAGCATTCCCAATGCTGCATTCCCAACATTATCCGTAAATCATATAAACAAAACCAAAATGTTGATTTATCGGTTTTCCCATTTTGAAACTGAATAACGTCGTATTTTCTGAAAAACAAAAAAATGACACCCATTCTTTTTTTTTTTAAAACGTTGTTAATATGTTTTGGATGCATATTGTTCTAGTATTTGTTCAGGCTGTTACATAAAATTAGCCTTTGTTGCTACCTGCTGGTGAGCAAATATTAAAATCAGTTAGAATCGACAACCAGTCCGCGATTTTTTGTATCTGCCGGTCCTTGGCACAATAAAGGTTGGGAACCCCTGCTCTAGACTTAGCAATGTAATATACATTTAAATGTTGGTCATGAGGGTTGTGTAAAAGGTCGCCATTGCCAGTAACAGACAGAGGGATTCACTTTGTGGGAGCTTCAAAAGAGTTAGGGATGAACACAGACAACACAACAGTCGGGAATTACCTCAAGGAGAAACGATGCCCCTAGGTTTTTAAGCCCCCTCATGCCTCCCACATGGGTGTAGCCAGGCGCATTCTGGATGCAATGCTGCTTCAGACATGACCAGTACGTCTTACAAATGAAGTCCTGAGCACTTTAATGGCAGAGGTGGTGGCGATCATCAACGCAAGACCCCTTGTCTTTGTGTATACTGACCCAGATATGCATGAAGTACTAACCCCAACAACTTTTCTTACCAAATGAGTGTTATTTCAGCACCCCCTGGAAACTTTGCAACAGCTCTGTTTTTTGGAAAGCAATGGAAACAAGTCCAGTGTCACTCATTTGTATTCCTATTTCTGTATTGTCACAGTTTTACAAAAATCAAGAGTTATCTTCACCGCAAACAAAAACATTAAATTAAAAGCATTGTCTTGTTTTGCTTCACCCAAAAGGTTTTATGTCAACCTGTATTGGTCCTTAATAAAATAAACACGCCTGGCTTACTTCTTTGTCCTCAGTGTACAAGACCAGCCCTTCTCAGTCTGCATAGTTGCTCTTGAAGTCCACTGGTCGGATCTTCAATGCCTCCTTTGCTGCTCTGCCTGCTCTTTCTTTAGTCTTATAGCCCTTCTTACTTGCAAGATCTCTCTCCTCCTACTATGGGGTTGCTCTCCAGTTATTCCGCTGGGCCTTGTTCAGTTTTGTTGCTTTAGCACTGGAGACCCAGGGGATTTACTGTTAGACAAAACAAACTGTCCAATTGGAACGTTACGTAACACAAATACCAATATCCTGATAAATATCGTACCGTGGACTTGTTATCGCGATAATATCGTACCGTGAGTTTTTGGTATCGTTACATCCCTAGTCCATACAGTCTTGGAATTGAACATCCAATCAAATAATGTAGTGTGTACCTGTTAGCAAGCTGACCAAAAGTCCCACTACCACCACCACGGTGGAGTTGTGGGCACTATACCACATGTAGGATAGCGAGTAGAGTGCCTCCACACCTGTCGGCCTGAAGGAAAGGGGAAGATGAAAGACAGAACGATGTTAGCACTAACCGATGATCATTACATGACTGACCATATGCAGTTTACCTATAGTGTTAAATAAAATAAATGCAGTAACTTTAAATGCAAAGTAAATAAACGTTAATTGTCACACATATACACATGCACATAGCCAACAGTTATATTTGGACATTGCTTTTATCCATCCAAGAAGCAGTGGGCAGCTACTTGTCTGTGCGGGGACTTAAACTGTTGACCCTCCTATTTACAAGCTACTGCAGCCTGCATGCGTTACCTCGGCTTGGCTGTGTTGGCGCTGACCAGTGTGGTCATGATAGCGGTGGTCATGTTGTCAAACAGGGGCAGATTTGTGGTGTTGAGGGCTCCCATTGCGTTGGCCTCAGACATGCGCAGCAAAAAGCTGCCAATGCCGATCCAGAAGGCCATGGCAAGGCCTGCTACCAACCCGACCAGTGCACCCTGTGGAGTTAATACATGGGTTTGTTCAAACCTCATCTTGAACCAAGCTTGTAAAAAATAAAAGCACAAATGAAAGAACTCACAGTAGAGTTTGCCCACGGAAAAAACAATCCAAGGCAGAAGAGGCCAAGCAGAGGACCACCAACCATCCCAAAGATGCTGAAGGCTGCCTGAGGACACAGAACATGGGTAAAGGTGTCGATCATTTGTGTGATAGGTAACTGCACTGAACGGCTGCATTAAATAAACAAAACACTTTTTACCGAGTATTTCCTTTTAAACTATTTTAGAGAATGTCATTTTTCTTCATGTCAAGATTGTGTTACCTGCAGAACAGATCCCATAATAGAGGCGACGTAGGCCATGGCCAGACACACCAGGCCATATACCAAAGCTGTGGGCCAAGCGCGTTAGAAAGAAATATGTTTTGTTTACACATGCTATATCATCAGCAGGTTATATACTGAAAAGTAGGTTCAAGTATAAACTGAACTTAGCATCGTTAAGCAGCATTTGAGTATCTAGACTTCTTTATAAAACACAGTATGCTTGGCTATAGACTGTTACTGATAAGTAACGGTAGGAAATGAGAACAATTTAAATCTATAAACATATTTTATATTCAACAGTATCAAGGTATTTAATACTACAGTGTCTAGTAGTTCATGCCAAAAATTATTGGGAAAGGTACAATAAGTTCATTAAAGCATTAAAGACTCTTACCGAGTCCCTTGGACAGCAGCGTAGCTTTGGCTTCAGTCATGTTTGGAAAATGAGGTTTAATCAGGTCCTCCATGGTTACTGTCGCTAGGGAGTTAAAGGCTGATGATATAGTACTGGAAGGAGACAATAATGGGATTCAATTAACAACTGGGAGTTTTGTAACACATTATATGGCTTCTCTTTGCAGCACAAGTCTTTAGGATATTGATGTATTGATGTATATACTGTAGTTTTAAGAAACTTTCTAAAAATGAGCAATACTCATTTCATGTCCAGCTGATGTTAGAAAATACACTCTTGGGAAACAGAGAAATTCCCTATTCAATTTCAAAAGGATGACATGATAAATTATAACTGACAAAGACATAATGATGAGTAGTGCAAGTTTAGAATTGTTGCTTTGTTGTTGTTGCTTTGTTGTTGGTTCATTTACCTGAGAGCTCCACTGAAGAGACAGGCTACAAACAGTCCTGCAAGCCCGGGCAGATCCTTGAACACGTCCATCACAAAGTACAGGACCATCTACACAAAGCAACACAACATCAGGATGTACTTCCAAAAGCCAAATATAACAAAGACACATTATTCCTTACAAATGAATGTTAACCTGGTCATTAGATTTGACAAAGCCCTTGTCCAGGGGGCTATCCTCTCCATACCGAGCAAACATGACCAGCCCCATCATACAACCTAAACATAAGACAATCTGCTGGCATGGAAAAACTATGTAGCAGGACCTAGAAGGATATGGCAAACAAGAAGACTGTTAACAATAAAGAAAATCATAGAAAAGGTACAAAATGTAACAATATAAAAACTGTAAAATACTTACACAAATTAGCAGTAATTACAAATAGATAGCCTGTGCAAAAGCAGCATGTTTTTGAACATGTTTGTCCAGTTTGAAATGGTTCTGCTTTTTTGTATTTAATGCTTTTCCCTTAACTCCAAGATCAAATACGCAACAGTCATTGCATCATCTTCTTAGAAAACAGAAAGGGTTGACCTAGCATGTTGTTGTGAGACATTGATGGTACTCACATAATGGCCTCTTTTTCCGTACGAGAACTGAGGTACCTCTGGACCTGGGCCTGGTTGACCCCATATAGAGCCAACATCAGGAAGACTCCTCCCACACCTAGTGTCCAGAAGGTATGGCGCTCCAAAGGGTCGGGGTTCAGGCTACGGAGGCAGAGAATCAATATAACATAATACAACATAATTATTACATTAAAATGAAGTACATTATTCAAATTTACATTAACTTTGGATAATAACACAGGAGAAATGAGCGGAAGCGCTCTCTTTTCCTCTCTCTCCCTGCCTCCCTCTCCCGACAGCCGGTCCCTATCCGTCTCATGCAGCACACTGATCCAGTAATGAGTGACCCGACAGTGAAGAATAAATATATTTATAACTAGTTTGGCTTGTTCCAGAGGTAGATAAAATAGCTAAGTGTGTTAGGTCTAACTCTTAGTGTGTGTTTTGCTCCGCTCACCGGTCCATCACAGCGGGTGTAGCTGCAGGATTTCTGCTTCAAACACGTTGCATACCGCTATTTTACTGTATTTTTCGGACACCTTAAAATACTGCCAGACCGGTGAAGCCATTTCGGCAAGCTTGTTTTGCCGCGCACAGAGAAAAGTGTCATGTATTTTACGTCATGTGATCGGCTCTCCCGATTGGCATTTATAGGGAGCACCGAACGATCGGCAGAGAGCGAATATCGGCCGATATTGATCGGCGGCCAATCAATCGGAGCATCCCTAGTTTCAGATATATAAAAAAACATGTCTCTGAAGTGTTTTGCTCAAAATACCAAACAGAACCCATTCTAGCCATGCCTCATACCTAGAGATGG